CCCACCACCCAAGGCCTCCCTGCAGGAGGGCATGCTCACACCTCCCCGCTCCTCCCCCAGGTCTCCGGGCAGGGTCTTTCTGCTGGATCCCCTGCCCTGCCCGAGGGCAGAGCCCGCTGCCCGCAGGATGGCGAGGTGGCTGCCCCGCTCCACCGACCTGGCCCGCTTCTGCCAGAAACTCAACCGGGTGAAGACCTTGGAGGACGACATGATGGAGACGTCCTTCAACAGATGCCTTTCCACCATGGACTTGACGCTGCTGGGCATCGGGGGCATGGTGGGCTCCGGGCTGTACGTCCTCACGGGCACCGTGGCCAAGGAGATTGCTGGCCCCGCGGTCATCGTCTCCTTCATCATTGCCGGCTTTGCCTCCCTCCTGGCTGCTCTCTGCTATGCTGAGTTTGGAGCCCGGGTCCCCAAGACAGGCTCTGCCTACATGTTCACCTACGTGTCCGTGGGTGAGATCTGGGCCTTCCTCATCGGCTGGAACGTGCTGCTGGAGTACATGATCGGGGGAGCCGCGGTCGCCAGGGCCTGGAGCGGCTACCTGGACTCCATCTTCAACCACAAGATAAAGAACTTCACTGAGACCCACGTGGGCACCTGGCAGGTGCCATTCCTGGCCCGCTACCCCGACTTTCTGGCGGCTGCCATCCTGCTGGTAGCCACCACCTTCATCTCCTTTGGGGCCAAAGTGTCCTCCTGGCTCAACCACCTCTTCTCGGCTATCAGCATGGGCGTCATCCTCTTCATTCTCATCATGGGCTTTGTCCTCGCACAGCCCAAGAACTGGAGTGCCCAGATGGGCGGCTTCGCCCCGTACGGGCTGTGCCTTCGTGGGCTTTGACGTCATCGCGGCCTCCAGTGAAGAGGCCAGGAACCCACAGAAGGCTGTCCCCAGGGCCATTGCTTTCTCCTTAGGGCTGGCCACCGGGGCCTACATCTTGGTGTCGGTGGTACTGACGCTGATGGTGCCCTGGCACACGCTGGACCCCGACTCTGCCCTGGCAGATGCGTTTTACAGGAGGGGCTACTCCTGGGCAGGGTTCCTGGTAGCCGC